ATCCCAGCACCTAGCCAACAGCCAACAGCCCCGTAGAAGTGACACCTCAATCAATTCATGCCCCTTCCTATATAACCCAGCACCTTTCCCTAATAAAGCGGAACTCTCCGGTGAATTGCTGCTATGTGTCGCTCCTTTCCTTTCAGGTGGTAACATATTATGCAATTTTAGTAATTAGAATAGTACGGTGTTGATTCAGCAGTAGATAAATAATCAGTAGAACATACTAGAAAGCCCAGCAACGGTCCTGCACATGTATTAGAAATTTTATTTTTGACAGGTATGTCATGGCAAGTACATAGGGAAAAGATAGCTTATTCACTACAGTAATACTCGGTAATGGCTTTGCATATGGAAGCTTTACTGTATACTATACAAAAAAATATTTTTCAATAGTATTGAAAAAAAATTCAAGTAAATTCGAAGCTCACATTGCCTTTATGAAGCAATTCATGAATCTGGCAGCATCCCCTCTAGCAAGATGCTGCAAGGAGTTGCAGAAAGTTTATGGTTTTTATAGACGGGTGGGGAAAGTGATTAACAAAAGAAAGGGATTGTTTCAGGCAAGATCACTTTCTCTTAGGGGGAAGAGCAAGGGGTTTTATAATGCAGATTACCTCGTCTTCTTTTAGGTAAAATGGAGAAGACTCATGTGAGATCATCTTATGCATGATGCTGACCTGAAAATTCTTGACAGACTACATTCTGGGAGAGGTTGGAACTGTAATAAGATTTCGATGTTAAGCCCTGGTTTGGTGACTTGGTGCAGCATTAGTGACACCATATTGAGCTGTGTCTTTATTTTTAATAGACTAAAAACTTAAATGTAATGAGCAAAACTTGTTTTAGAAGGGTGCAGAGGAATATCCGACCTTGAATTTCTAAGACTACAAAAACACCTACAGTAGTCTTAGGAAAAGGTAATAAATTTAGACTACATTAAAAATAAAATTTTCCATTTCAGAAGACCACTAACAAGGTTAAAGATGAGTGACAGATTGAACAGTGGTACTTTCTGTTGTTCTACAACAGATTATACCAGAACAGAGCTCACTAAAACTCAGCTGAATAGGACCAGTCACTGAACTACACACTTCTCACAAAATGCCCAGCCTGGCTTCCTGGCTCAGTTTGGTCATGAGCGCTCTCGGAATAGATATTGTGTGGTTCTCGTTTCTTATTTCCATACTTCCCAAGCCTCAGCCATCCCTTATAATACCCTCACCCCTTTAAAATAAATCTTAGGGTAAAGTGTTCATTTGGGACTTTCAGGGTCTTTGTAAATGTTAGTATTTTTATTAGGTTTACTTAGCTCTCTGTTAGTGTCTGTGATGGGGTTGCTCAGTAGTCTACCCCAATCATTTTCCCACAAGCCCCGTAAGTTTTAGTGTGCAGGTTTCCAGGGCACAGAGTTTTCCAGTGTTAATTGCATTTTACTAGAAATGCCTAAAGTATATAAAGCAAGTAATTTATTATCTAGAAGATGAACTTCTAGGTTTTAAGCCATTTTCTCTCAGAACATCGAGCACATCATTCTCCTGTTTGGTCGTCTGTCTTTTACTGCTGATGAGTTTGATACTAATCTGATTCTCTTTCCTTAGTAAGTAATCTGTTTTTTTTTCTCCCTTTCTGGAAGCCAATAGAAGTTGGGAGAAAAAAACATTATTTAAAAATTTCAGTGATCTGTCTGGGTGTGGTTCTTTTAAAATTCACTGTACCAGGAATTCAGTTGTGTCTCATTCTGCAGACATATTTTAGCTCTGGAAGTTTTCTAGCAATTTTCTGTTTTTAAGCCCAGTTGGAAAATAAATTGTGACCGGGTTATTACCCTTGTTTTTATTCTATTTTAAAAACATTTTAATTTAAGTATAATATACATAACAGAAAGTGCCCTGACATAAATGTCCAGCTCAATGAATTTTTCCCAAACTGAGGACACCTGTGTATTCGGCACCCATATCAAGCAACAGAACATTACCAGCACTCTTGAAACTCCTAATACTTGGCTCTCTAAGGAGTGCATCCCAGCCTCTTCCAGGATACCACTCTTCTGACTTCAGCAATATAGTTTTACCTGCTCTTTGTACTTTAAATAGAATCATGCAGTTTTATGCTCTTTGCATCTGGCTTCTTTAGCCCAAGATTATGTTAATCCAATTTCATTCTCATTACAGCATACTGTAATTTCATTTTGTGTATATGCCACAATGTATTTAGTTACTCTATTCATGAACATTGGCATGGCTTTTGGCTATTATTGCTAGTGTGGCTGTGAACTCTTTAGGAAATTTCTGATCATATGTGCAATTCTGTTGGGTATGTACTTTGGGGTGGAAAGAGTGGGCTACAGTAGATACTGCCACATCGTTCTCCAAATGGTTGTATTAATTTTCCAGATGGCTGTGTTTGTTTCACTCCCATAGCATTGCACATGAATTCAATACATGTGCAATACATGTTGCCTACATCCTCACCAGCACTTGGTATTTTTCACCTTTTTCATGTAAGTCCTGGTGGATATGTAGTGTTACCTCATTTTACTATCTTAGTGAAATAATAAATGTGCTTTGAAATTTTGCTTTATTTTATCCACTTTTGTGTGTGCATCTTGGCTGTTTCAGTCTTTGAATGTTCTATGTTTATTTTTGACTGTTAAATTAGCAAGCATATTGACTAACTTACCAACTAACATTTACTGTTCTGCTTCATTTCTTTCACTCAAGCTCCGTATTTTCATGCATGGTTATCTCTTTGTGAGGAATTTTGCTGGTATGAACATTGTTAACAGTTTCACTTCCTTATTTAAAGAGGAAAGTAGCTTAATAGTTTGGTGACAGTGTTGTCTTCATAACTTTAGTTATTTCTTTTGGGTAGCTTATTAGACTTGGCTTTTGTAACGTTTTTAAGTCTTGCTTCTTCTGTTTCTCTGATGCTTCTTCTCTGAACGCTCCTTTAAATGTTTATATTTCTCTTGATTGTTTCTTTAGTGCACTTCTGACCTTGTCTGCTCTCTGTATTTACCCCCTTGTTTCCAGATCCAGTTGTTCACTGTGTGTCACAACTTGAGGCTTTTGTGGCTACTTTGAATGTGCACTCATCATTCCTCTGTCATACCAACTCTTCCAACAGTTTCTACTCAGTTAATACGGTCACTTTCTACTCAGTCTTCTTTGCCAGTATTTTTGCTTGGTGAGTGTAGTCTGTCACCTTTTACTCAGTCTTCTAAGTTAGAACTGCCTAGCTTTCTTGTACCCCCACCAGTAATTGTCAACAATTCTGTTGGCTGTATTTTTTAACATAGGAAGCTCCCATCATGGTCACAAATGCTGAGCACTGTGTCTCTCAGGAAGGGATCCTCTGTCCCTCTCTCCTCCCTCTAGGGCAGATCTTATCATGGTCTAGACCTTTCCAGTTAGTCTTGTTTCCTTGCTTTTTTTCTGACTCCTCTCTTCTTTTTTCTCTTGTACAGCCCCTTGATTAAAGAATGCAAACACTGACCAAAACAAATAATTTCAATTAAAGTGTATTATTTAAAGGTTTCAAAGTATAGACAATTAAACTTTCAGTTTTTAATTTAAACCAACTTAGAAATGACAGTTTTTGTAACTTTGTAGTATGCATACTTTGAAGTTATTAAAGGTCGAAATGGTACTCAGACTTTTGAGACACCCTCTCTGGAAGGATTTTAAAAAGTACTGATGCAAATTGCTATCCAGAAACTTAAAGCACATTCTCATATCTTCTCTAATACTGGTTATAATTAGTATTTTTAAAACTAATTTTTAGTGTGACAACTGAAAAATGGTATCTCAGTCTTGTTTACTTTGCATTTTTTTGACTGTAGGTTATGATGAATATTTCTAATGTTGTAATTTATGCTTTTTATTGGTAATCACTTCTAATGCTCCTTTATTGATATTAGCTTCTATTTATGGAGCACTTGACTATTTAAAATATTGATGAGCATTTTACTGCATCACCTATTTTAATCCTCTGAACAACCCCGTCAAGTATACTTTTATCATTTTGTGAATGAAGAAACTGATTTTAGAGGGAAAAGTGAGTTGTCCAGTGCTACATAGTGAGGAAACTCAGATTCTGTGATCCGGTGTGACACTACTACCTCTCAACTTTGATTAGTATAGATGACGAAGATTGGTTTATTTATATTTATAGGGGATTACATTAAGTGTTTACTTACTCTGGGTCCCACATACAGATGACTGTGATTTATCTGTTTCTTCCAAAAGCAAAATGATCAAGTTTGATATTTCATTGGGCTGGGGAAGAAGAAAAAAATTTTTAGTGAGTTTGGTTATAATTAGAATGATGGTTAAAAATGTTGACAACTGGAAGGTTCTTAAATATTCCTCAAATTATGTTCCATTGCACACTACTGTGGGAAATGTTCATATTTCCAGACCACTTACATTTTGGCAACACTTAGTTTTCCTTAGCAGAGAAACCTTATCAACTTTGCTTATTCTAGAATTTCCCAAGTCAGTTTTTATGCTGTTCTGTGATCTATTCATACCTTCTGGGACAGCATTGTGAAAAATCAATCAGTTTGCGACAAAAGCTCATGTGGACCAGTCTCTCTTTTTATAAGGGGATGAAATGCAAATCCAGTGTGGTTAAGTGTGTTGGCTAAGGTCACACAGCTACTATGAGGCGCAGACAGGATGATACCCAGGCATTCCTTTGTACCGTGCTTCCTTTGATAATGTTATGTAATGCTAATGTTTATTTTTCATATACTGTGTTAAAAGTTGTAATGCATGCTTGAATGTAATTTCTTTTATATTCCCATCTGGCCCAGTTATTATTTGTATACTCTGAGAAAGATGTACATAGTTTTTAAAAGTCTGAGATTCATGTACCTGCGAACAGCCTAACTCATTTTGCATGAACACCTATGCATAACTGCTTGTTTGTGTTTAATCATAGAAATGAAAAGAATGCTTTTTCTGTGGTTAACATGTCACATATGTTTGGTTTAGTTTCTGTAGAAAATGTTTCCTGACTGCAATGAGAGAAAGCGGAATACATTGTCCCCTTTGTCGTGGAAATGTGACTAGAAGAGAGAGAGCGTGTCCTGAACGGGCCTTAGACCTTGAGAATGTCATGAGGAAGTTTTCTGGGCGCTGCAGGTGCTGTGCAAAACAGGTACAGCAAGAGAGAGCCGTTACTTCGGGTGGGAATTGGGTAGAAATGGCCAAAGAAGCTTGTGACTCTAGAGTTTAGTAGATTATAAATTTATGGAGAGCAAAGACTGAAAGGTTAAATCTTTAAATTTGGCATAATTTCTAGTGTGATATTTTTCTCACAGTAATTGCTCATTGACCACCTACTAACAAACAAACTGGCATTTAAGTCATTTGAACCCTGCTCTGCTACCAATTGAACCCGTGCATAGTTTTTCTGATGGTAGCATCTTTATTGCATTTTTGCACATAGAAATGTGCCAAATGGATTTATGTAGTGAAGGAACTCTAGCAACCCTCTTTGCGTGTGTTTATTTAAGAAATCACAGAATACTTGGCAGAGGACTGCTTAATTGTTAAGGAACAGGTGGGAAAATCAGATATTGGCAAATAACTGGCATTAATTCCCCCATCTGGATTTTATTCCATCATTTGGAGAGTGAGTGAAATGGTGAGGGGTGGTTAGGATTTGAGTATATCCATGTGTTTGTGGATTTATTGCAGTCAGTTTTTCAAACAGTTAATAAAATCAGTGAGCAAAACCACTTGCTGCTTCATGATTCACACAAGTCAGATCTGCTTTTCCATCTCTTTGAGGGAGATGTTAACTGACAGGGCAATGAAGTGAAGCTGGAAAAACACATGAGTAATTCTGGCTCTCCTCCTCATTGAGAAACTGGAAAAGGCTCTAGAGTTAACCTGGAGCTCATCCTCTTCAAGTGCTTTCTGACTGCCAGGTGGCAGCAGTTAAAAATAAAATTCTCGATACTGTGAGGCAACCTCGTAGTAGTACTTTTAATCTTATGTTTTCTGTTACTATTGTTTCAAATATAAAATCATTTGTTAGTATTTTTTTTGCAGTGAATTTACATCTGTAATGGACAGAAATTTATTATTTTTACTTCTTAAAAATTTAATCATTTACTTGAAAAGCTCTTGTTTATTTAAATGGAGTATTTACTATTTCTCTTTTTTCCCCCCTGTTGACAATATCTCAAGTCTTTTGACTTCTATTTTAAGTTAAAAGTCACATTACATTTTAATCAATAACTTACAGATTAAATTCTATCGCATGAGACATCATTACAAATCTTGTAAGAAGTATCAAGATGAATATGGTGTTTCCTCTATCATTCCAAACTTTCAGATCTCTCAAGATTCCATAGGGAACAGGTAAGCAGTATTTATTCCTTTTTTTGACCCTGGCCCTGCCCCACTTCCCCAACAATATTTATTCTTAAAAAGAGAAGTTTTATAGTTGAAATTGTTAGAGAACTATATGATAAGGTGTGTTTTGGTGTGTGTGTGTTTAATGTAAATTGCCTAGTATCAGAACTATTTCATTTGTCTTCAAAAGATTAATCATTTAAGATTGCTTCTGGGAGAGCAACTTTATGATATATTTAAGCTTATGTTAGTTAAAAATTATTCTAAGAAAATCTACATTTAAAAAAATAAAAAGTAGACTTGAGAATCGAAGGCTATTTTCTTTTGCAACTTAAATTATTTGAAAACTCAAGAAAATTCCAACTATTTGCAAACTAGAATCTCTTTTTGCTAAGAGTTGTTTGGATTTTTATTCTCATAGGATGTCACATAATGTAAAAGTTAGAAGTGGTACTACAAATTCTTAGTTCTATTTCAGTCTCAATTTTTTTAAAACTACGTTTTGGCTTGACTTATATCTTACTATCTCTGATTTATGTATATTAAACATTTTTATGAAATGTATTTTATACAGAATGGTCAAAATACACATGTGTTGTCCTAAAAATAGTGACTAAAAAAATACCCAGTTACCCACTAATGCAGTTTGAAAAATAGAACATTCATCAGGACCACCTTAGAGCCTCTCTAAGAGCCGTGCCCTTTGAACCCCAGAGGAAGCGCTGCCCTCTCCTGGGCTGCTCATACCTTGAGTTCCCTGGGCGCGAGCACTGTGCTGTCCCGGCGCAGAGGAGTGTGTGACTCGCAGGCCCGGGGGCCAGCGCACAGGCATGGGGACGCGTGCACGCAGGGTGTTCCACAGCATCTGAGATGGTCCTCCTGGCAAGTTGTTGGTGTTTGGTAACCTAACACTCTGAAGCATTCGGACTGCCCTTGGGCGTCTCTGCTCCCAGTTGAAGCTGTCCTGTAAAGGTCTTTCCTAACTTGCTGATTGCCTAGGCTGCAAAACTGTTTTAGGTTCTCATGCTGCTTGACTTAGTGTCATCGAGTGAATGGGTCACTCCTGTTACGTGATTTAAAAATACAAAATCGCCTTAGGTTTCTTCATCCCTTGTGCTTTATTATGGGAATCACTCAACCCTTTGTTATTAACCCAATGGCTTGTTCCTAAGTACAGGGATGGTGTATGTCTTACTCCACATTGTATCCCAGCTCTTAGCGAAGTTCTTAGTTTATCTGATATGCAAGTACCCCCTGTTAAATGACCGAAGTTTCTTCGCAGAAGACCTGCCTTCTTCCCTCTTATTCCTCACATCCACTTTGATTCCTAATGGCAAGATTCCTTCCCCGAGCTTTTCTCTGGTCCCTCTTGTCACTTCCCTTGCTCACGCCCTCATCATTTCCCACTTGAACTGTTGTAGTGGGCTTTTAGTTGGTGGTCTTGCTCTCATCTGCCCTATGTACTATTGCCAGAATGGTATTTCTGAAGCACCATTTTGATCTCTTTCTCCCTGTCCTTGTACTTTCATCCCTGTACTTTGTCAATGACTTAACATGGACCCATAGCAGGGCTTCCCACCCTGGGTTCAGTGAGCCAGTAGGGGCTCTGTGCACTACATAAACTGCCAAAATTGTGTGTATGTGTATTTTTCTGGAGAGAGAATGCCAAGTGTTTCTCAAAGGGTTCCATTATCTAAAATACAAGAACTGGTATGTAAGACAAAATTCTTTATTCTAAAGCCCTTTCTGATCTGGCACTTGCCTCTCCTTGTAGCCCTTCTACTTCTTGGCTACCCATCAGTGTGTGATGCCTGAGCCATGTTGAATTATTTGTCCCTTAGTCTTGCTGTGCTGGAAGCAGCGTAACATGGTTATAAGTGAAGGTTTGGAGAGAGACCCCTGTGGGTTTGACTTGGGTGTCCCATGGCTGTTTGTGTTACCTTTGGACGGATGTCTGTTCTATTGAGTTTCAGGGGTTTCTTTTATATTTGGAGATCGTCCCTTTGTCAGACATGTGCTTTGCAGTGTTCTCTTCCATTCCACATGTTGCCTTTTCATTCTGGTGATTGTTTCCTTTGCTGGGCAGAAACCTTTTCATCTGATGTCCTGCTTGTCTGTTTGCTTTTGTTGCCTGATTGCAAATATTTCTTTGGCTAGTCTTGTTATGGTGTCTTTTGATGTACAAAAGTATTATATGTTATGTTTTCGTGTGGGTGTGTATATATAGATATATAAATAATTATTTTCTTTATGGTTTTTATTTTTTGTGTCATATTTGAGAAATCCTTTCCCACATCAAAGCTATAAAAGATATTTTTTTCTTTAGCAGTTTAAAAGTTGTGGTTTTCACATTCATTTTGGGTATGTAAATGTGAGGTAGAAATTTTTCCCCGTGTGATTAACCGCTTGCTCCAGTACCATTTGTTAATAAGTCCATTCTTCCCCCTGATTTATGACACTTTGGTCCCGTACCTCTCTGTTATTCTGCTCTGCGGGTGTGTTTGCTTATTCCTCTGGTGTCATTCTATCCTAACTCCTGCAGCTCTTAACAGTAAGCCTCAATATTGGGTAGGGCCAGTGCCCCCATGTTTTATGTACAAAATTGTCTCTGCTATTCTTGGCCCTTTGCTGTTGCATATGAATTTTGGTATCAGACTTTTGGAGTTTCCCAACAGTCCCTGTAAAGAGTTTGATCAGAAGCACGACAGAGGTTGGATTTATTGAAATCATAGATTTGTTTGCAGAGATCCTGGAATTTTCCCACCTAGAAATAAAGCCTAGCTCTCCCATTTTTAAAGAATGTGATGAAGAAGTCCATTTAGGACACATGTAAATAGGTTTTTTTTTGTAGGTATCTTTTCCTATTAAAACCTTAGTAGTTTTTGTTACTAAATAAGTAGATCTTTTTTCCTGTTTCATAATCTGTTACTAGTGAATAGAAATATTATGGATTTTTATGTTAATGTATTTAGCAACATTGCTGATTTATTCTAATAATTGTAAATAATTTACTGGTAGATTCTTTTAGATGTATTTATTAAATAGAGAAAATGATTTTTTAATACAGTTTTGTCTCTGATTCATTTCATACTTTTGCATGAACTAAGTTACTATACAATATTAAATAGCAGGTACCTTTTTCTTGATTTTAGTAATGGATCAAAATTTTTACTATTTAAGTATGTTTATTGTCATTTTTTAATAAAGATAATTTTTATCTGTTCTGTGGTGCCATTACTCTGAATTTAAAATTTCCTCATTAAATGTTCCTACTCAAATCAAAATCTTTTGTGGATTAAAAAAATATATACATCTGGTTCCATTCCCTGATTCAGAGGATTTTTTTGTTTTTGTTTCCATTATTGAATGGTTTTTTGCATCACATGAAATTATATATTTTTTAATTGATAATGTGGTAGATAGTTAGTAATAGATTTTCTGTTGTTGAAACGCTTCCTGCATTTCTGCAGTGAATGAGTAGGCTACCAGTAATATAGCCCAGGCCGAATACAGGATGACTACGAACGATTAGAATGGTGATGCCAGTAACAATGGAAAACAGAATTGTAATGGAAGATGAAAGGGAAAAGGCATTTGAAAAGGGCATTAACTTTGATATTAAGATGTTTTAGATCAGTTTGTGATTGCATACCCCATCAGTGAACCAAGTGGACCATATACTCCTGTATATGTATGCTTGTTTAAAAACAATGCATGTATTTTATAATACTGATAGCTTATGTACATTATAAAACATTCACGATTTAGGTGAGATAAAGATGAAATAGTTGGTATAAAAATAAGTTTCGCTTTACTTAATGGTATATAATGTTTTATTCTTAAAGTTTTATTAAAACTTACTGAAACATTGTTGATTATGCTTTCTAAAGTTTAAAAAACATTTAGTTTACCACTGTGACAGAGTAATTCAAAGATTTGGATTTAATTTCACTCTACTTTGATAATTGGTTTTATTGACTATCCTGGCTTAACAAGGTATCTATCACACAAAAAAAATGTAGATCCAAATGGAAGAAGTATGCATCGATTGAGACTAAAATTTTCAATCTGATTCACTAAATAATCAAAAGAGCTCTTGAGATTTTTATCTTCCTTGTTGATGTAAGAGTTCTTATAAACCAATCAGCAGTTGTTAAAGTATTTTTGAAGGGCACATTCAAAATCCAATGATTATATTTCTTTGGAAGATTAAAAAAAATGAATAATTTACTGAGTTTAAATGTATAGATATGAAATATTTATTTAATTTCACTCTACTTTGATAATTGGTTTTATTGACTATCCTGGCTTAACAAGGTATCTATCACACAAAAAAAATGTAGATCCAAATGGAAGAAGTATGCATCGATTGAGACTAAAATTTTCAATCTGATTCACTAAATATCAAAAGAGCTCTTGAGATTTTTATCTTCCTTGTTGATGTAAGAGTTCTTATAAACCAATCAGCAGTTGTTAAAGTATTTTTGAAGGGCACATTCAAAATCCAATGATTATATTTCTTTGGAAGATTAAAAAAAATGAATAATTTACTGAGTTTAAATGTATAGATATGAAATATTTAAAAAGAGGTTATACACATGTTTCTGGTAACAAAATCATAATATCCGTTTAACAAATATACTCTCCATAGTTTGAGATTATTTTAAAAAGCAGTTTTTAGTCTCCACATTGTTAAAATGCTGCCTTTACCTGAAGAGGCAGATTGATACCTGCTAGAAAGGTGCAAAATAGTAGGCTCCTATTGGGGTGTGGAAGCAGGGAAGCTTGGCTGTTTGCCCGGCATGGAGTATGTGTGGAAAGGTGCATCATTATATTCACGAAGGGAACTGTCATTGGAAAGGTATCTTTATACCAGATACATCCTGTTCTTTGTAGCTTTATTACAAAAAGCAAACCAAAGAAAATGAAAAAAAAAAAGTTAGGTTATCTGTTACATAGATGCTTAATACTGCTAGTTTTTATAAAGGAAAAATAACCAGTTTTCTAACTTTTGTGATACAAGAACAGACTATGTTGTACAGCCTTTTATATTCTACCTGTCTCATTTCTGATTTAACATTTCTGCTGTTGAAAGGCCTTGTTTTTAGAAAGTGACCACATTAATGACCTTCTGTGACACATAAGTAGCAGCACCCTTTGGGAGTGCCCACTTGTCCCTCAAGATCCCTCTATACTCCATAGGACATGATGCTCTGGCATGGGATCCCAGTGAGAGATCTCATTGTTCTGTATGTTACATGGTGGAAAGCCTAGTTCATTTTTTGGAAAAAAAGGAATAAAATGAAAGTTCAATTATTTTCTTTTTCTTTTTTCTTTAGGTATCAATGATATACACTTTTATGAAGGTTTCACATGAAAAACATTGTGGTACTACATTCACCCGTATTATCAAGTCCCCCCCATACCCTGTTGAAGTCACTGTCCATCAGTGTAGTAAGATGCCACAGAGTCACTACTTGTCTTCTCTGTGCTACACTGTCTTCCCCGTGACCCCCCACACCATGTGCACCAATCATAATACCCCTCAATCCCCTTCTCCCTCCCTCCCCACTTGCCCTCCCCCACCCTTCCCCTTTGGTAACCACTAGTCCCTTCTTGGAGTCTGTGAGTCTGCTGCTGTTTTGTTCCTTCAACTTTGCTTCATTTTTATACTCCACGCATGAGGGAAATCATTTGGTACTTTTCTTTCTCCGCCTGGCTTATTTCACTTAGCATAATACCATCTAGCTCCATCCATGTTGTTGCAAATGGTAGGATTTGTCTTCTTCCTATGGCTGAATATTATTCCATTGTGTATATGTACCACATTTTCTTTTCCATTCATCTACTGATGGATGCTTAGGTTGCTTCCATATCTTGGCTACTGTAAACAGTTCTGCAATAAACAGAGGTGCATATGTCTTTTTGAATCTGAGAAGTTGTTTTCTTTGGGTAAATTCCTTGGAGTGGAATTCCTGGGTCAAATAGTATTTCTATTTTGAATTTTTTGAGGAACCTCCATATTGCTTTCCACAATGGCTGAACTAGTTTACATTCCCACCAGCAGTGTAGGAGGGTTCCCCTTTCTCTGCATCCTCACCAGCATTTGTTGTTCCTAGTCTTTTTGATTTTGGCCATCCTTACTGGTGTGAGGTGATATCTCATTGTGGTTTTAATTTGCATTTCCCTGATAATTAGCAATGTGTGGAGCATCTTTTCATGTGCCTGTTGGCCATCTGAATTTCTTCTTTGGAGAATTGTCTGTTCATATCCTCCACCCATTTTTTAATAGGGTTATTTGCTTTTTGGGTGTTGAGGCGTGTGAGTTCTTTATATATTTTGGATGCTAACCCTTTGTTGGATATGTCATTTACAAATATATTCTCCCATACTGTAGGATGCCTTTTTGTTCTACTGATGGTGTCCTTTGTTGTATAGAAGCTTTTTAGTTTGGTGTAGTCCCATTTGTTCATTTTTGCTTTTGTTTCCCTTGCCCAAGGAGATGCATTCAGGAAAAAGTTGCTCATGTTTGTATTTAAGAGATTTTTGCTTATGTTTTCTTCTAAAAGTTTTATGGTTTCCAGACTTACATTAAGGTCTTTGGTCCATTCTGAGTTTTCCTGTGTGTGTATGGAGTTAGACAGTAATCCAGTTTCATTCTCTTACATGTAGCTGTCCAGTTTTGCCAACACCATTTGTTGAAGAGGCTGAAAGTTCAATTGTTTTCTTAAGCCTTCTTCACTTTGGAGGCCACAACTTCAAGCTATATCCTAGTTAGAAGTCAAAAAGTTTATGAAATCTTGATTCTCCCCCAGCATTCAAAAACTTCATAGTCTAGGCAAAGACAGAGAGGTCTATTCATGTGAAAGTCTGAAGGAACTGGGGAAATGCTATCATGCTGTGGACTTAAGATAAGTCTGCAGACTTCTGTAATTGCCACACTTTCTAACTGAGGAGGTTAATTTTAAAGGATGTGAATAGATCTAATCAGCAGGGTTTTTTTGAAAAGTTAACTAATTCTATCATATAGTTCAAAACTATTTGAAGTTCAGGCTTTTAAAACAAATTCAGACCAGTCACATTAGTAATTCAAGTTCATGAATCTGTAGCGTACTTTATTACTTGAGGTATTAACTGCCCCCCCATGCTTCTTAAGTAATAGGAGTGAAACATCCACATCTGATAACACAGAAACTTATCAAGAGAATACAAGGTAAGCCTTTGAAAATTCTGCTGCTTCAATAAGTAAAATCACTTTGTAATAATAATTTTTTAAATGAAACATTTTTTTTTTCTCAGTTAAATGATCAGACATAATGCAAGATGCTGCCAGTTTAGAAGTAAATGATGCAGTTGCTGCTTTTATGGATTACATTAAATTAGAAGAGTTTAGCTCTCCTCTTTCACTGGGGTCAGGCTCCTTTGCATGATTTAGGTAGTTGTCAGCATTGAACTGTCTGTCCCTTTCTGAAATTCAGAGGTACTAAAACCTAGTGATGAATGAACCTCAAAGTGTTTTGAAATGTTGATCATTCTGATGATCAATTCTTTTGTGTTTTACTTTTCCTGTGAATTTTATACGTTAGATTCCTAGATACTGGGATGGGTTCAAAATAATAACATTGATGAAAGTCTCTTAAAAGTTTTAAGTTTCTAGATATGGGATTTCCAAACTGGGACACTCTGGGACCATACCTTGTTCGATTGGAGCATTTTAATATTTTTAATTGAATCATTGTAAAACCAAGGACAATTTTATAACTTTTTTGTATGTGGCTGTTACATGGAGGGCAATATCTCTAAGTAGGGATAAATTACTTTAAAATAAATGAATCCTAGAGGATTTTCCCTTCAAGTCAAGTGTCTTGTTGTTTTAAATAAATTTGTTTAAATTGAAAAAAAAAATTTGTTTTCAAGGAATGTACAGTGACATCTGTAGGCCTCACATAAATGCCTTTGCTGTTTGGGTCTAATGAAGCAGTTGGATTTGTTTTTGTTTTTGTTTAGGTCTTAGAGGCACCTGAGATGCTAGGCTGCTTACTGTAAACTGAGATTGTTTCAGAACAGCTGTTATAGATCATTTATTTAAAACACAGTTCTTTCAAAATGGGAGAATCTTTGAATAATAATTTTAAGAGAGACTTAGAGTCATTTGTCAGGAAATTACAAGAGCATAATTTTTATGTTATGATTTTAAACTGTATGTCACTTAAAATCATTTTATAGTTCTTCTGGGCAGCCCACCTTTAAGTGCCCCTTGTGTCAAGAATCAAATTTCACCAGACAGCGTTTACTGGACCACTGTAACAGTGAACACCTATTTCAGATAGTTCCTGTGGTAAGTACCTTTGTTTATGACAGCCTTCTTGCTTAAAGTATGCTGTTCCATTTATTTCACTTCATGTATACAGAAGGGGAGGGTAGTTGATTTACCTTTGGATGGGATATTATCTGTAAGAGAGATCTTTTTCACCAAATATTGATGACTGTGAAGCAAAATGAGATATTTGAAATTCTAGCAAGTCACATACAAAAGGGAAGGTGCTTACTGTGAAGGTGATGTAGGGTGATAGGTTGAAGAAGAGTGAAATGATGGAAGATGAGGTCAGGGCTCCTTCCCAAGACGTGGCCGGGCCTGACTGGCGGGACCTGTCAGTCTCCTGGCCTGTGGGATGCGGGCGGCTGCATCTGGTCAGTAGCATCCATTGTGGGTAGAAGCACTGTCAAGGAGGAGTGAAGTCAGTAGATATTTTAAATTGTATCCTTGCCAAATCTAGTGTATGATGCATAAAGCTAGGATGGAAAAGAGTCATACATTGTTTTTGATGCCATTTTGAGGGTATGTAAGAAGGAGGGAAAGGCTTTTTGCCTGAATGAGGGAGATAGAGTGGCAGGCAGGATCCAACAGTGGGTTAGTGGTCCTGCAACTCCTCGTTTGGAACCTGAGTTTCACAGCAGATGGAGGAGCAGCTGAGCTGGCGGAGATACTTTCTTTTCAACAAAACGTTATAAATATTTTCTTCAGAAATAAAAATAGAAGGAAACATAAATAAAGGATTGAGATACTTCTATACCCTTTTAGTGGCTGTACTAGAAAAAATTGTGAAAGAATATGCCTCAGTAATTATTGATGATACCCTTAAACTCTCTCCTAATAGTAAGGGAGACAAACCATCTACTTTTTGTTTCTGCGTTATATTCAATATAGCACAAACTCTGGCTACAGTCCAATTACTGTAAGTTCCATTTTATTTTATTTCAGTGTGTTATCCATTCACTTTTTAATATGTACTTCATTTAAAACCTTAAAGGAACAACTTATTGTTTACTTCACTTTCATTTCACTTATAAATGAAAATAAGCTAATCATTATATCACAGTTGTGTGGTCAAATGAGATTACATACAGGTTAATGATAACTATCATTACAGTTGGTATTTTTAAAGGCTGGATTTGATGTTTCTGTTGAAACAATTGTGTACAATTGGAGATTTAAGTAATGAAATGTATTAAATCTCTTTTGGTTAGATTAGTATAATCTATCTAAAGGTAGTGTGGTTAGGAAATGATCTAGCCTTGGAATTTGGCTCCTAGAAATGCTTTTCATGTCAGTATATTTGGTAACATAATCCTGTATTTTAATATCTTTAATAATTAAAACTTAAAACAGTAATTAAAATTTAAAACTTAAAAATTAAACTGGTTATTCTGATCATTTTTTATTTAAAACGTTTCTGTTTCTTGTAGACATGTCCTATTTGTGTGTCTCTTCCTTGGGGAGATCCTAGTCAGATTACTAGAAATTTCGTTAGTCATCTAAATCAAAGACATCAGTTTGATTATGGAGAATTTGTGGTAAGTGAATTATTCAAGATGAAGAAAACACCATTTAAATATTCAAGTTAAATTAACTTTTTCATCTAGACTTGAGTTTTGAGGCAAGCTGTTGTGCTGTACTTGGTGGCTATAGAGCAAGTTCTGTTATTTTTATAATAATAGGTGAATTTGGTTTGTAGAAGTGGTGAAAGCTGAATTTATGTCCACCTCTGCTAGGGTGATAATTAGAGAAAGAGCAAAGCCCCCAGATTAACAGAATAATGATTTGTATGAAAACTGTCTAGATTTAAGGGAAAGCTGTGCCTGCTGGAATAGTAAAATTGGTACAATGAATGGAGGAGGATGTATTGCTCATGTAGTTTAAGTTGTTTGCTAAGCCCATTATAATAGATTTCCCTTATTGCATGTGGGATATGTTCCTTTTAAAAATGAAGCACCTTAATTAATGAAGAAAGTTACATACATGAAAATGAATCCCCAAAACAAAACATAGGGCTAATTTCCCCTCCCAGATGTGTAATGATAATTTTAAAGAATTAGATGATTTTTGTTTTATCAGTTGTGAAATTGCACTTTATTCACTGACAGTGAATTAAAACCTTATGCAGCTTGAGATGAATCCTGACAAAAATCACTCTCACTTTCCAGTTTGGGTTATTTAGCACAGGCATGCACAGTTCTGACAAAGGCAAGAACATAACTTAATTATTTTCTCTGCTCTCCAGTGTTGGAGATACATTATTCTTGATAAAGGTTGTCTTTTTTTGTGGAATTTGCATTTTTTAATTTTACTCTTTTAAAATAACTATTCAAATGTGTGCAGAATTCAGGTGTAAGCTTATAATTTTAGAATTTTTATGAAGTAATTTTATGTTATTCTTAAATTCTCATTGTTGGAAATGTTACTGTGTCTTGGGAAAAAAAACATTTTGCAAACCACGTCGGCTGTAATGGTCAGATTGTTTTACCTCTCCACAGGAGAATATGCAGCTTTAATTACTTGAGATTATCAGTGGAAAGCCTAAAGTCGACCCATAAGTTACCAAATATAATTTTTTATGTTAATTAATAGTGGTATAACTAAGATTGAGCTATAGTTTTTAGCTTCACATGATGATTCAGAAGCTGTACTTAACTCTCCTAATTCCATAGATGCTTATTTTCTTTAAAATATATTTACCTTCCGACATTCAGCGTTTTTTCGTGGAGATGACAAAATTTATCTCTTATGATTGTGGATTATCCTTACCTGTACTTATAATGAATGACTTAATCAGAAGGCACTGTAATTAATCCTCATATTTCATTCTGTGCTGATCCTCTTTATCAATTATTCATAAGTAAATAAACTGAACTTAATTTTTTATTAAGTGTTTAAATCTTTTATATAAAAGAATAGTATATATATATAAAACAAACTGTTTCAAGTATGTGTAATGTATTGGGAAAAAGCTTGCAAGAGTGGAGTGTGTTTTTTCAGTTGACACGTTGATGTTACTGTTTTAGAATCTTCAGCTGGATGAGGAAACCCAGTATCAAACTGCTGTTGAAGAATCCTTTCAAGCAAACATCTGAAGACTGCAGAATTTTCTGCATCTTTGTACCTGCAAGTGCCATCTCCTGGGGAAGCTACCTGAAGTCACCTGAATAACTTGATGTGTATATTAATAAAAGTAATTCAGTGTTCTGTTTTAGATTTTTGATTGAAAATTAAAGGTGGGATATCTATAAATTTCATCCTCTTGATAAGTTAAAAAATAAGCTAGGACTTTATCTGTAAAAGCATTAAAAGGATTATATTTCATTAATGTAATGGTGAAAAGGGACTCCCTGTTGTACTTTGTCTTTGTAACATTGTGTTGCTGATGACCTTGGTGCAGTTCCTCCCGTTGCAGCTACTGTGCAGGGAGGCACCCAGGAGCAGATCTTCATGGTGTGAGTGAAGTCTCACAGAGCTGAACCAAATGTCAGAGGTGCAGAATGGAAACTTGAAGGGCTAAAGGAAACAATGCAAAAGGAGGCTTTTTTTTTTTTTTTTAAGAGGGCATCTCTCATATTTATTGATCAAATGGTTGTTAACAACAATAAAATTCTGTATAGGGGACTCAATGCACAATCATTAATCAACCCCAAGCCCAACTCAAAAGGAGGCTTTTTTAATACAGATTCTAGCTGTGGAATTCAACTATAAGAAAATCATATTTATATAGTGTTCAGTATTTTTGAAGACTAGTGAGATTTCTTTAAAAATTATAACTAAGAAGTAAAAGCTCATTATAAAGATGTTTCCTTTTTGCTCTTAGAAGGAAATATCGAGAGAAAAATGTATTTCTTTGATGAGCAGTTGTTAATTTCAAATCTTGTTTGTTTGGCTGACTGATTCGTAAGCCTCAAGTATTGTAAGCTGAATTTCAGCTCTTTGGCCCCAGGATTTTCAATGACCAGTATTTCAGATTAGCTAAGATGAAGCTTTTATTAGGAACTTTCAGTTGGTAGTATTATATTCTACATATATATTTAAAAGAGGTTTGGCTTCATCTCAGTTTAGAAATTTATGCAGCACTAAAGATGTATATGTACATACACAGACACTTTAGTATGTGTGTGTACACACGTATGCATGCAGTTTGTCAGATAATATGCAGACTTCCTAGTGTTTAAAATGGATAAGCAATGTGGGATTGAAGTATTTGTCTGATTTAATAAATTTTTGTATATCACCAGACTTTTAAAAAGTAATATTTGAATGCTAAGTGGTCTAGTTGACTACTATCACACTTTAAAAATTGAGTTTACATGCACAATTAATCTATTTATATGGTGCTCATTTGTTATTCTCAGAGATAACACGTTACTGAAGCAGTGAAACAAATTCTACCAGCCATTCTGTTTCACCACTTTTTATTGACAGCTGAGTTTCTTCTTAGTATTCATTAATGAGAATCATAAAATAACATGTACCAGAAGGCCCAAACCACAGAACAGAAGGTGAAGAGTAGATTAACATCGTGACATTCCATTCTAATGCACATTGTGCTTTCTTTAAAAAAAAAACTAAAAGAACATAAAAGAAAATCTCTGAACTAGTTTGCTGCTAATATATACATATATTGTATAAAAAGTATATTTTGGTTTTGTTAAATTCCTTGTTGACTTTTCTACAGTGAACATTTTTTTAACTTGATTTAATAAAAATGTTAATTTTGGAAGTGGAGTTTTGTAAAAACCTTTTTCAGTCAAACAGTAATGACTTTATAGGTAGTAACAGTCACCAAAAAGCCATACATCTTAGTGAACATAGGCCTTTGTTCTGTCATTCAGAAGGGTGATGTTCACTATGTGCTTGAACCTTTTCTCTGCAGTTACAGAACTGTATTGTAAGAATAGCTTTTAATGAACTCTTTAAAAAGAGACTTTTGACCATACATTTTCCAGTTTAAAGCAATAACTTTGGTACATTCTTTCAAAGTTTAATATTTCCAGTGTCAAGTTAAACCAGTCTGAGATTCAAGAACTTCTTTAAAGGGAAATGGTAGTAAATATCATCTTGATGAAATGTGTTTTGAAGTTTTTTGGATTTGTTAACTATCATTAATAGCCTTGTATGTCTTTCACATAAACGCATAAGGAAAATATTGACTGTATTTGCTATTATCTGGAAATTACTCAGTATGGAAATGTTTAAAATATCCCTTTCATCATAGGATTAGTAATAGAGATAGGTTTTCAGATTCACACTTCAAATTTGTGAGACAACCTCATTTTTTTTAAAACAAGTATCGATATAGAATCTTATATTGGTTTCAAGTGTACAAGACAGTGCTTTAACAGTTATCCATATTATTAAATCCTCAACCCTCATAGTGTGGTTACTGTCTGTCAGCATAGGGAGATGTTGTAGAACCAGTGGCTATATTCTCTGTGCAGTACTACAATACCCAAGACCAATGTATATAAATGATTGGGAATTTTTGTGCCCTTTATCCTCCTCACCCCCAGCCCTCCACCCCACCCCTCTTCCATAGTAACCACGAGTCACTTCTCAGTGTCTGTGAGTCTGCTGCTGTCTGTTCATTCTGATTATTCATATTTATTTTCCACAAATTACATGAGACAACCTAATTTTTAATGTGCATATAGTTGAGTCAGGATGGAGGAGGAAAACTATTGATACTCTGATATCTAAATTTCACTATAACTTACAGGGAAGCTATTTACCTCAACAAATAAATATGTTTATGTTGTTAAACAGAGTCTTACTTGAGATGTATTGCTTTATTTTTCAATTAAAAGTGGTTTTCTCCCACTTGTGTGTCTAATTAAAATTTTGTCTAGAGGCAAACCTGGTAACATTTAGCTCTCATAACTCACCCTGGAAGGCACGCAGGAGATAACCCCTTATTCTGCACTTAAAAAAGTGGAGCAGACAGAGCTACCACATGCTGGTACTGTATGCTGAATTTACTTTCCTATTTTATCTTTATTTCAAATTTTAATCAATATAAGAGCTGTTTTTCAAGTTGCCAGTTGGGGCTTTCAAGCCCAGTTAAACATGGAGAGTGGCCTTCAGTAAGCTGTCAGAGCTGTGGGAACACTTGCCAAATACCGTGTCGTACACTGTTGGCTGGTTGGCATTAACTGTGACCGTCAGGGACTCATGACTTGCACACACGAACCCAGGAGGGCTGATACTCAGAAGAGCAAACCCTTTGTGGCAGTCATGGCACTTCAGGCTTTGTAGAGACGATGTGACCAAAAAACAAATCCATGTAGTAAATTCGTAATAGGAATAAAATACTCATTCCGTGATATCACTTAGTATGCAATTTAATTTTCCAATTAGCCAGTAGTTTTCAAAAAAGATGGGGAGTGGGAATGAAGTACATTAGGGATGCAAAGAGGAACAGCCTGCGTGCCCCCCAACAGCTGCGCTCCAATCGTGGGGCCGAGAGTAGTCATTGAGATTAGAATCGCGTAAATCCCCTTGTGCCCCTCCCCAGTCACGTGTTGCTGGCTCCTCTACCTTCTGATACCACAGATTGCCTGCTTTCATATCGGATTCGAATGGGAGCCCAGCAGATTATATTTGGCTCCTTTGCTCAACATTGTTTTGAGGGGTTTTTTTCTTTTTAATTTCTTTATTAAATTGGTTGCATAAAAGATGTACATTTTCATACTGACAACACAAAAGCAACAAAAATAAGGCAAATGTGCTTCACATATAAACAATCACATGTTAAGAATAGGAAACCTAGCCCTGTACAACAAAAAGATTAGGAAGCAAACTGAGGAAGCCCTGTATTCAGAATATACCCAAATGTGTGTGCCAAAGCAGCACATCCATAAGAGCTCACCTAAATGCCTTGTTTATGATGCATTAATTCCTTAATTATCCATTTGTGAAATGAACATTAAACATGAAATTCAAATTGCATTTATTTTCACAATATCATTGTTAAAATAGCAACTTCATTGAATCTTGTAAATGTTAAAATGTTTCAAAAATAAAAGACCATGTTAATTTTTTTAACCCTATAAATGGGGTTTTCAAAAACTGGATTATTTTACTCTACTAGCAGGGAGACTGGTTCTCAGCCTGCCCTCAAGTAGCATGAACAAAGGACAGCAGACAAGTGTCACTACGGTAACACCCATGCATGTAACAGTGCGCTGAGCCATGTCTGCGTTCTACTTATATAGCAGGTCTATCAACCAGCCAGCAGCATGCAAGCTTACACCTCATGTGACACAATTACTCAATTAACCATACATCTATGAGAAATTTCCAAACCCATTCCCAAATAATTTGAGCACATGTATTAAGTACGTAGGTCGTTTAGAAAAACAAATAAAACAGACCCAGTCTTTGCAATTGAAAAATTTTCATAACATATAAACAATGTTCAGATATAAATTCTGACCTGAACATTTTTTTCTAAATATGATTTATGTAATCAAGGCTTAAAGACAGGTATATGATCTGTACAAACTTACAGTAGTGTATATTCCAATAGAAATTTTCTTCCTATTATGATAATACAGCTCTTTTCTGAGTGAAGATACAGGTTAAGGCTAAAGGTGTAAACACTTTGGAAGACAAACTTAGTGAAGAAATTACCATTTATTTAAAAATGTGTATTACCTCAATAGTCACCTGAATTTTCAAATTTACATGTGAATACATTTACATCTTACATTTCTAGGAAAGGCAGGCACAGGCTTTATGTAAAAAAAGCAAAATTTTAAACCCACCAATTTATTGAAAAAGCCATTACTTTTATTAGAAACAAATAATGCTTCTCAAGATGTTGATAAAAGGTCATAGTATAGACCTAAGTTTCATACAGTGTACTCCTCCCTTTAATTATATTCCAGGAGGTGGGATACCTCCTTGACTATGAGAAGCAGAAGTATTTGATGGACTGTGTAAGCTGGTCTCCTTGTACACGAACCATGCATTTCCTCCCCAAAGTATCATATTCAGAAAGCCAAAGATCACAGATACATTTAGGGATCCCCATACTAGTCACGGAGCCAAAAGTCCACATCACTCCTGGATGCTTACAAGGCTCAAGTTCCTGGACAATACTGTAACCAGTAGCTGCTTTAATATCTGTAAGAGCTTTAGCCCAGGCTGAAGTGCTCACCAACCATAAAAAAGTGGCAATAAGAGTAACATTAAAGTCAACCATGGGAAGTTTTCGACTTTCCCGATATAGGTTCGTATAACCAACATAGAGCAGAAGAGCAGCCATGCAGTACAGGAAGACAAAGACTGCAAACGTAACAGAATTGCGCATGCAGTACAGGAAGACAAAGACTGCAAACGTTTTCTGATTATTCATATTTATTTTCCACAAATTACATGAGACAACCTAATTTTTAATGTGCATATAGTTGAGTCAGGATGGAGGAGGAAAACTATTGATACTCTGATATCTAAATTTCACTATAACTTACAGGGAAGCTATTTACCTCAACAAATAAATATGTTTATGTTGTTAAACAGAGTCTTACTTGAGATGTATTGCTTTATTTTTCAATTAAAAGTGGTTTTCTCCCACTTGTGTGTCTAATTAAAATTTTGTCTAGAGACAAACCTGGTAACATTTAGCTCTCATAACTCACCCTGGAAGGCACGCAGGAGATAACCCCTTATTCTGCACTTAAAAAAGTGGAGCAGACAGAGCTACCACATGCTGGTACTGTATGCTGAATTTACTTTCCTATTTTATCTTTATTTCAAATTTTAATCAATATAAGAGCTGTTTTTCAAGTTGCCAGTTGGGGCTTTCAAGCCCAGTTAAACATGGAGAGTGGCCTTCAGTAAGCTGTCAGAGCTGTGGGAACACTTGCCAAATACCGTGTCGTACACTGTTGGCTGGTTGGCATTAACTGTGACCGTCAGGGACTCATGACTTGCACACACGAACCCAGGAGGGCTGATACTCAGAAGAGCAAACCCTTTGTGGCAGTCATGGCACTTCAGGCTTTGTAGAGACGATGTGACCAAAAAACAAATCCATGTAGTAAATTCGTAATAGGAATAAAATACTCATTCCGTGATATCACTTAGTATGCAATTTAATTTTCCAATTAGCCAGTAGTTTTCAAAAAAGATGGGGAGTGGGAATGAAGTACATTAGGGATGCAAAGAGGAACAGCCTGCGTGCCCCCCAACAGCTGCGCTCCAATCGTGGGGCCGAGAGTAGTCATTGAGATTAGAATCGCGTAAATCCCCTTGTGCCCCTCCCCAGTCACGTGTTGCTGGCTCCTCTACCTTCTGATACCACAGATTGCCTGCTTTCATATCGGATTCGAATGGGAGCCCAGCAGATTATATTTGGCTCCTTTGCTCAACATTGTTTTGAGGGGTTTTTTTCTTTTTAATTTCTTTATTAAATTGGTTGCATAAAAGATGTACATTTTCATACTGACAACACAAAAGCAACAAAAATAAGGCAAATGTGCTTCACATATAAACAATCACATGTTAAGAATAGGAAACCTAGCCCTGTACAACAAAAAGATTAGGAAGCAAACTGAGGAAGCCCTGTATTCAGAATATACCCAAATGTGTGTGCCAAAGCAGCACATCCATAAGAGCTCACCTAAATGCCTTGTTTATGATGCATTAATTCCTTAATTATCCATTTGTGAAATGAACATTAAACATGAAATTCAAATTGCATTTATTTTCACAATATCATTGTTAAAATAGCAACTTCATTGAATCTTGTAAATGTTAAAATGTTTCAAAAATAAAAGACCATGTTAATTTTTTTAACCCTATAAATGGGGTTTTCAAAAACTGGATTATTTTACTCTACTAGCAGGGAGACTGGTTCTCAGCCTGCCCTCAAGTAGCATGAACAAAGGACAGCAGACAAGTGTCACTACGGTAACACCCATGCATGTAACAGTGCGCTGAGCCATGTCTGCGTTCTACTTATATAGCAGGTCTATCAACCAGCCAGCAGCATGCAAGCTTACACCTCATGTGACACAATTACTCAATTAACCATACATCTATGAGAAATTTCCAAACCCATTCCCAAATAATTTGAGCACATGTATTAAGTACGTAGGTCGTTTAGAAAAACAAATAAAACAGACCCAGTCTTTGCAATTGAAAAATTTTCATAACATATAAACAATGTTCAGATATAAATTCTGACCTGAACATTTTTTTCTAAATATGATTTATGTAATCAAGGCTTAAAGACAGGTATATGATCTGTACAAACTTACAGTAGTGTATATTCCAATAGAAATTTTCTTCCTATTATGATAATACAGCTCTTTTCTGAGTGAAGATACAGGTTAAGGCTAAAGGTGTAAACACTTTGGAAGACAAACTTAGTGAAGAAATTACCATTTATTTAAAAATGTGTATTACCTCAATAGTCACCTGAATTTTCAAATTTACATGTGAATACATTTACATCTTACATTTCTAGGAAAGGCAGGCACAGGCTTTATGTAAAAAAAGCAAAATTTTAAACCCACCAATTTATTGAAAAAGCCATTACTTTTATTAGAAACAAATAATGCTTCTCAAGATGTTGATAAAAGGTCATAGTATAGACCTAAGTTTCATACAGTGTACTCCTCCCTTTAATTATATTCCAGGAGGTGGGATACCTCCTTGACTATGAGAAGCAGAAGTATTTGATGGACTGTGTAAGCTGGTCTCCTTGTACACGAACCATGCATTTCCTCCCCAAAGTATCATATTCAGAAAGCCAAAGATCACAGATACATTTAGGGATCCCCATACTAGTCACGGAGCCAAAAGTCCACATCACTCCTGGATGCTTACAAGGCTCAAGTTCCTGGACAATACTGTAACCAGTAGCTGCTTTAATATCTGTAAGAGCTTTAGCCCAGGCTGAAGTGCTCACCAACCATAAAAAAGTGGCAATAAGAGTAACATTAAAGTCAACCATGGGAAGTTTTCGACTTTCCCGATATAGGTTCGTATAACCAACATAGAGCAGAAGAGCAGCCATGCAGTACAGGAAGACAAAGACTGCAAACGTAACAGAATTGCGCATGCAGTACAGGAAGACAAAGACTGCAAACGTAACAGAATTGCGCAGAAGAAGAGTAATCTCCAATAAGGGCATAACTTTTCCAATTTATATCACACACATTTGCATTGTTAGGTGCCTCAAATGATGCCTTAGTCAACCTGAATGGATATCCAAAAGTAGCAGTAACTGTTTTGTTGTCATTAAATTTACGACAACCCACTTGAATTTCCGTTTTGCCCTTAAAACCTCCACAGGTGGCAAAAGCAAAGATAGAAGCAATCCACTCGAGGACCTTGATGAAGCCGAGCGGCTCCTTGAGCGGGTTGAGGCTGAGCTGGAAGGAGGACATCCTCTGAAGGAAGGAGGGAGAAAGTCAGGACTCGGGGCGGAGGAGGAGGGGACCGCCGAGACCGAGCCGCGGGAGGCGAGGAAGGGCAGGCGGGGCGGGCTCCGGGAGGCGGGCGGGGCAGGCGGCGGCAGTTGTGTTTTGAGGTTTTTATGTCAGTTTTTGATTCAGTCAACAGCTCCCTATAGTAACGTCTGTTTTGTTCATAACAAAAGCTAATCTTTAATGTTTGTGTGTGGAAACCCTGTTAGATGTATTACAAGTGGTTCTTTCATGTACGGTAGCACTTGTAAGGTGTCGAATCTAGGTGAAAACAAAACTAGTTCGTGTTCCTCTCGGAGCAAGTGCAGAAAGCCAGGTGAAGGGTGTAACCAGGCCTTCCCCTGCCTGCCCTGCCCTTGCCCATAAGCTGTACATAGGATGTTCTCTTTTAAGGGCGTTTTGTATGCAGTGGATTTTTAAGTTTGCAAGAACTATACTTCCCGGGCCTATAGTCAAATGCTAACTGGAAACTTAAAGGGCCACAGTAGGTACAGAAGTGTTAGGCTTCTGAGAGCATAACACGCAAGCCTCATTTGGGTTAGCCTGGGTTTGATGATTCTTCAGTTTGATGCTTGTGTGATTTTGGGCAAATACTTTGACCTCTCACTTATGGGTTGTGAGGACGGAGTGAGTTAATACACATTGGTTGGGATAGAGTCTGTTATCTTTTTATTCATTCAGTACAGAAATCTGCAATGAAGTTTATATCTGGCAGGAAAGTTGGGAAATGTTGTTTTCTTTTAGAATCTAGAACCTAAAGATGGAATAGTAGTCTTTACTATCCTCAACTTTTGCAGGAAGATCTGATACACTGTCTCCAGGAAGTACAAATACTCTAGACAATGAGAAATTCTAAATAAAAAAATTGTATGTTTTTTTAGAATAGTCCTTACAAAGAACCGTCATCTGACAATAATACTTATTAATCATATATGGATGTCCAGGATTTATGGCAAGAAATTTAAACCCCCATTTTATTGAGGTATAATTGACATACAGCACTGGTTTAGGTGTGCAATAGACTTACTGATGGACGTGTTGTGAATTTATTAGCACAATGAATTTAGTTAAATTTATCATCTCTGTAGATAACAAAAAAAAGTTTTTTGTAATGAGAACTCTTAGGATTTTACTCTCAACTTTCAAATAGACCATAGAACAGTGTTAACTATAGTCATCATGTTCTGCATTAGGGCCCATTTTTGTTTTTAATTTTAACATGCTTGATACTTACCTAGATTTACCATGAAAAAACCACTGTGTAGAAGAAAATTTAGTTTGTAATATTAGCAAATTGCATCAATAGTTTATAAATGGTTATCTTGGTCATTTGGTAATCTTGAATTGTTTTAAATAGTTTTTATGACTTTTATGAAAGTTCATGAGTGTTGGTTGAGAATATCACTTAATACCAAGTTTGTTTTTCTGTTTCCAGACAGAATTGATATATTATACCTGAAAAGCATTTTTCTGTTTATGAAATAATTTCAGGCTCATTAGGCCAACAGTTCTGCATTTCTTGGTCTCAAGACCCTCCATTGCACTCCAGTTACTGAGAAACCCCTGTGAGGTTTTGTTATTATTGTTGATGTCATCAGTCTTTAAAACCAGCAAGTTGAGAAAATCACACCTTTTCCAAAATTCTAACAGTTGCTTAAAACCTCAAATTTTGTCATTGATAACAAATAGCTGGTTATTTCCTTGAAGTGACAAGCTCATATCCTGTATGTACCCAACTCTGAATAAGATGATTTGTTCTCAGATGCATTTTCAAGCCAAGAATGTCAGTGCCATGAAAAAGCTAGTTGAGCTTAACATAGTTGTGCAAACACATTTCCTTGAGATAATCATTCCACCTAGTTATGCAGCAATATGCTTTCTGTGAATTTCCTATTTAATTTCACAGAATACTTAAAAGACTTGTCTTAAGGGTTAAATTTTAATACAGTTAAAGATTTCAGCATTTGATCAAGGATATTTTTAAGTAAAGCTGCTTTCCCCACCTGCCATTAGGGCATGGTGGTGAAGAACATAAAAACTCTGTTTGGTACTCCTGCCTTGATTCAGGCTAGAGCAACAACGTTGCAAAAGTTAATACAGGGACTCTCTTGTCCCCTCCTGGCGTGAGCTGGGAGCTCTGTCCTTTCACTGTATCTCTAAATAAAAGCCTGTACCTTGCTCTCCTAAAAAAAAAAAA